TTTGTCTTGTTTTGACCTCTCTGGGCTTGGTGATTTCTCTCTTCTGCCGCCGTTTATTATATTGGTCAGATCCGGTTGCTTCTGCTTGTTTGGGGTTCAGTTTTCCGGTGATTTTTTTGGGACCATGTCGTAGGTGATGGAGGTTCTGTTTGTCTGATGGTGATTCCGGGCCCGGGTCTTGTGAGTTTTTAGTTCTTGTTCGAAGAGGTAAGTTATGGTGGTATTAGTGGCGTCGAATCTGTCTATCGGTGAGGCTTCTCCGCCTCGCACGCACCTCCACATAGCGATTCTTCAGCTCTTGTTCTTCCTGTGCTCATTATGGATTCGGGGGTCCTTGGTCACCTTCTTTGGTGAAGTGTTTTTCCTTCAAGCTTTTATTGTGATCGGTTTTGAAGTTGTGAGCGGTTTTCAGACTCAGTTTGGACTATTTAGGTTGATAATGCGCCTTCAAAGTTCGATACAATATTGGTTTGGATGTGGCTCTTTCTGTTATCCCTGCATCTTGGTATTTTCAAAATTACTTGTGCTTTAATGTCTTGAAGTGGTATTACATTTTCTCAGCTCTTATTGTGGTTTAGTTTAGGCTTGTGGCTTGTCGGATCTCCTTCCTTTGGCTAGTGACTCTTGTAGTCCAACTTGGTCCTTGTCAAGCCTCCCTATCCTCTTCCACATGTGTTCGGGTTGTATTCGTTGCTGAGTTTTGTTTTACCTTATTCTTAGTTGTTAAAGCGGTGAATTTCTGACCTTTGTAATTTTCTGTTTAAGTTCACGTTTCCCTCGTGTGGGCTTTGTCTCCGGGATTTTCGTGTTTATCCGTCGGCTTAGTTTCTGGGTTCGTTCTGGCTTTGTATCCTAGCTTGTATCCTACCATGTATCCTACCTTGTATGTTACTTGGTTTAATATAATATTTTAGATGCAAAAAAAAAAAACTTAATTACCTACCACAAACCTCATTTTTCTCCAAAAATAAAAATATTTGGTTGATGGCCTAAACATTTGGTTGGGTCCATAAATTCCGTGTCTAGTTTGAAAGTCACTCTTATAAAATTTTCTCCATAAGAAAAGATCATCATCACCCTCTTGTATATTGATATAAATATAATTGATCAAGTTTCGGAACCGAGTTATTGAATTAGTCGGAGTTGGGTTTATTTAGTCGTAAGCAGAGTCGCCCCTGACCATTTGAACGCCCCAGGTTTATTTAGTCGTAAGCAGAGTCGCCCCTGACCATTTGAACGCCCCAAACAATTTTTTTTTGCCAACTAGCTATCAATTTCTTTTCTCTAAAAACAAAGAAAAACCATATGCCAGTTTCGAACTCAAAATTATATATTTCAAAAAACACGCATAAACTAGTGGAGTTACGAACAATTTTACTAAATTAATGGCCCAAAAAATAATAAATGATTCGCCAACCCCAAACACATGTACTAGCTTATAGTCAGGGTCGGCTATGGTCGTGAGATATTAGAAAACGATTGTAACATACTTTTGGCGGATGTTATGTGATGAGACTGGTCTACTGTAGTCTATTGAGTTGTGATTGATGTCTTTTCGATCGAGAGAGCGTGCTTTGTATGAGCACGTTTAATGACTGTTTAACTTTGTGAGGTGCGGACAATGGGATCCGCCTATTCAGCTTGCGAAACCTCTTCTTTTGTATGTTAATGTGTTGGAATGTTCGTTCGAGAGACCTTGGTCAATATTTTATGTTTCTGATAAGATATCCTTTGAACCAGTTTTTTTTTTA